TCTTATGCAAAATTGGGAAACCATAGCCTACTAGGGAGGATTTCATGAAAAACGATCAATTTCAGCCTCTTCACTACAGTTGATAACAATCTCCTTTCAAAACCCACCTACAGAGCCTTCTTGGCGCTCACCAACAACTTCTATCGGGAAACTGGTAAAGCTGAACCACGCGTCACAAAGCAAGAGGTCTGTTCAAGATCTGTTAGGTTCCATACGATTATCAGGTCCCGGTTTCTTCATATGTGGCAGTCCATATCCGAGTCATTGGGAGGGAGTGCCCAAGACTTGCTCAGTTCTGGAGCAGCTGAAAGTTCAGTCAGAGGTGGAGGCAGAATGTGCATGAAGGATAGTAGTTGGCACAATAGCTATCTATGCACCACTCATCATGTTTTCCCTGAACTGGCAAGTTAACGCTGCCACGCTCACATTTAAGCGAGCAGACACGCCCCTTTCCACCTCTGGTTATGGACGTATGCATGAATACCGCGGCCATTTTTTTAATGAGTAACGGTGTAGAATTTTGAAGGAATTACCGTCCCAAAACTGATATGTCTAACTAATAAATTTAGGAAGAACAAGAAACAAAAACGTTTCTCGCTGCAGTGCTCCAATCGAAACCCATGCAAGCGGTGTACAGCTTCCTGAATACGAAAAGTATGATATATTAGCACTCTTCTGGGCGCTAATGTAGTTGGGGGAGGGGAGGGGGGAGGGGGAAAGAGGGGCAAATTGACTACGGCCGCACCCTCGTATCCCTTCCTCCAATCAGGGCTTAGGCTTGTTAAAGACTATGTCTTCTCTGTAGAACTATTCCTCGGCGCTTCAAGTCCTGTGCTCTATGAGCACGCTTTTTTTGGGAAGGGATAAGCGCGGTCAAGTGCCCTCCTCCCCCCCTCTCCCGCCCAACTACATTAGCGCCACATTTTATTCGTGCTACATTCTATAGAAACCCGAGCCTTCATATTCAGAGCATCCATTTGCAACAAGTCCTGCTGTCTTCGAAAAATGGCTCAAGCAACTCTGGTTCGAACACTACTCCCGCGCTAATGGTGTGCCTGATTCATCTGCTTTCGAACACGTTTTTATTGGAGAGGTAATTTCATGGGTGGCTTTATTATGGCAAATGTCCACCAGCGATCGAATAGAGAAAAATGATAAGAGAACAAATACAAACACTGTTTGTGATTTAAAGACACTGTTCGGCATGACGGGAGGGCAGAGCTTGACAACTGACCACTCGCATTCTTTTCCGGTCTTTCATGAGCTGAAAAAAGCGGAAAGGAGTGCGTCAATTACGTCGCAATGCGCCGATTTCAAATTTAATCTCTTTGAATGCGTCGATCCTCTGTTTTTCTCTGCACTCTCTCACCCGTATGGCATTCTATGGTCATCGTGACCGCAGATTCCAGCTTTTCACAACTGGAAAGTGGCTCGCCTTCCAACCGAAAAAAGTTCGTTCCCGGTTCCCGACATATTTTTTGCACCTTTCGATGCCATGGCGACCGCTTCCCTATGTTTCTCTGCGCTTTCGCGCCAGGACCCCTCCCACCCCCAATGGTCAGGTGCCACGTAACTATGACGGCGAGCCATCTTAGGCTGCGTTTATACTTTGCGGCAGCGTAGCGTAGCGCTTCCAGCGTACGCCAGCGGCAGTGCCGGGGAGAGGATGCATATCGATCTAGCGTTCCCAGCGTCACCAGCGCTGGGGCGTAAACGCGCTAGAGCTAGCGTTACGCCAGCGTTTCACCAGCGTTTTGCTGGCGTTTGCAGCGGCAGGGGAGTAGAGACTATGTGGCCGTAAGAGACGCGCAATCGATGTGTATTGTACCCTCCAGCTCTCCCATA